TAGACTGACCCCCCTAGGGCTAAAAAGTTATATGTCATGCCATAGTATGTTTACAGGTGAGAGAATTGTATACCTTCCCTAATTATAGCATAACTAGATACTCACTGCTTGTAATATTATTGTATATTACATGTAGATTTACGTTGCCATCAAAATTGTACGCTTTATTTATTTGTCATGTTTTTTTTTTTATTCACCTAATATTACAAGCAGTGAGTATCTAGTTATACTTTAATATAACTCGTATATAATACACAAACTTAGTTAAAAGAAAAAAATAATTCTCGTTCACACACAACTAATTTAAAAATTGAATGAAATAAATAAATACAACCTTCCCACATTATCTTTGATGCACACGTTTTCAGAAACACGGAAGACATTAAAAGTCAGAATACTATTAATGCAGGTCTGAGTTGATGATAGTTATTATACAAAATATAAGGCCTCTTAAACTAGTTGTTTTCATTTTGGAATCAAACTGTTCGTTGATTGGTTGGATGAGTGCACAATAGAACAATCGTACTAGTTGTTTTTTAACTTCAATATCTTGATCAAAACTTTCCAACTTGTGAAGAAAGTACATTACTAGTCGAGAAAATGCATTGAAAAGCAGGACATACAGTAGGATAGTTCTATTACATCGTGTCAAAACGGAGTTTGGAGGTTATATCCCTTGATATGCTCACGGATCTACATCAGGATTATTTGAACCAATAAGTTGAACCAATGAAGAGAATTTTTTTATCTGCTTCCAATTTATACAACGAATGCCCCAAGCCTCAGTCTGATACAAATAATATATGGTACTTGGTTTACATGTTTCGGACAACCAGTCCAGACGTAATACTGCAAAATTTGTTCAAGGTTGTAATTTTTTTTTTAAATATGGTCTATATTAAAATATAATGGAATAGCATATCCAACTATAGATCTTTATAGAACGTCACGGAGAGACATTCACAAGTCTAAACACACAAAACAAATGACTGTAAGCAATTGACAAAACATTCCACAAGAACAAAACAACTGACATGTATGCAACGCTACAGAAAGCGTCTATCTAAGATAATCTTTATAACAGTGTTATTGTATTTTACCGCAAGCTCATTATCCAGCAAAAAGCTTTTCGTTTGTTAAGGCCATCTTCTAAACAAAAATATTTGTTAAGCGTAGGACGAAAGAGTATAATATCTTCTCAAATAGTAGTAGTAAATGTATTACATGCTCTGGCATTGATTGAGCTAGCAAATATGTGGAGAATTGATGATATTAAAATGAAAATAATTCCTTTTGTCATAATTGTGTTGAAATCTCAACATTCAAAGTACAGATTTAAGTATGAAGCAGGATAAGCAGATTATTTAGTCCCTTTAACCGCAAAATTCAGGTGAATATATCATTGGAATATAATCACTAAATTTAAGCTGTTTGTGGAAAGTAATATATAAAGGTATGTGAAATTAAAGACTTTGGCTTTTCACTTTTTTCTTTTTAATATATTATTGGCATTGAGCAAATCTAGGCATACATAATTTATTATGGGGTATTGGTTGATCGAGCATACATGGTATATGCATTAATCATGGAGATTTCCTTTCATACCTGTATACAATATTGCATAATCGAAAATCTATCATGAGGGCAAGCACTCTATTGCAGATACCAATCAAACCACAAGTACCATAGAATTGAAGAACTCGTTTGGTAGTTACATCTACTTTATTATCTAATAGCATTTATTGACTGACATATCGCAGGAATTCACATATAGTAAATGTTAGATTTTAGATGTCGGTTTAGAATCTTTATGTTTAAAGATGTCTTATGATATGCCATGCGTTCTAGGTCATGGCACATTGCCTCATGGTGCTCTTCATTAACATGGAATTTCTGCAAAATTAAAGCAAAAACACGTAAAGGATTAATGTTTCATAGACTAAACGTTATGCTATGACGACCGCGATTCGTCGACTGTATTATTTGACCCATGCTACACCTGAAAGTTAGAATGTAACATTGTCATTATCTAAAATTCACGATATTCTTCAGTCTCACTTACAGTAGATACATATTATAACAGGTGTAGCAAGTGTACCTTTCTAGTATCAGAATACAATTATTAGCTGTCACATGAGTTAGTCACTGTTTCAGTGTCGACTTTGTAACTTTGTAATTTTACCTTACCCCTAATATGACGATGTATTTTTGTTTGTAGCTGAGGTGAGAAGGAGTCAATTATTCACTCTCAATCTCTATAATTTAACCGGAATAAGTTGAACATTATCAACTGTGTATGTACAAGGATAATTAAAATGCTTACCACAGATGTATCCCTTTTTCCGTTTCTCTCCTTCAGGATTATCACCGCAGTAATCATCATCCCATTTTAATGCTCTCTCTGCCCTGAGTGAACGAAATAACACAATAGAAGCATGTGAGACATGGATAATATAACGTTCATAACTATAAATTAACTAATACATTGCTTTACTGTATTATATATTCAAATACTTACCATAATTGCACACAGTCCTGTCCATTGATTGGATCTCCTTGGTGGTTATCGTTTGGTTGATCAGCAGCCCACCTACTGAAGTCTCCTGGTTCCAACGTTGAACCATCTGACCAAACAAAATTACCTTCACTGTCGCGATCATTGAGCCCAATCCAGAAACCTTTGTTAACTTCTTCGTCAAGAGCATTTGTTAATATGTATTGTCTGACCGTCTTGTAAATATGGTGAGTATTGAGTGTTGCAAGTCTTCCTCCATCCATCTCACATTTGGTCTTAGCTTTGGCCCACTTTATTTCGGTTGTGTGAATTTCATAACGATTACAACCTACAACCACGCAGTTGGGTTCTGGAAATATAACATTGAACAATGTATACCTGGGAGTATGACTAAGAAGCTGTTGTCATTAATTAATGTACTCTTTGGTGACTGGGCCCGATTAACGTCTAACTAGAATAGCGCCGAGGACAGAAACCTGATCAAGGCCCCAAAGTAGTGTGTATATTAACGACAGCGGCTGCATAGGAGTACGAATTTGGCACGCTTTTCGTGTTTTTTGCGGCGTCATCTGGGTTTATGTGACACAGCGTACGTGTGTTGCGTCAGGTTTTGCTGCTGCCGATTGCTATTTTTACATAGTGAAGCGAAAGTTGTACTATTCATTTGGAGCACGTGAGAATAAACTAGCCTATGGACGAGGTAAGTCCAATTAGGAGCATTGACGGGGTTAGTTATTAGACTCGAACGCTACACGCATATTAAGCTGGTCACCTTTTATGAGTACGGTTAAAATAAAAATTGTGCACTCATTCGTTTAGTTATTGGAAACTTTGGGAGTAAATTAGTAATACCCTGTAATATTTGGGTGAGAAAATAACATTCGTTTTCAAGGATCCCTGGCCCAACACTCCAATATATATTAAGGAACCGATGGACCTACCTATACACGAACACGCCTCAATAATATTTTCACCGTTAAGTTGAAATACATATCGACCAGGAACACCAACATTCGTGGTTTCTTCGATGTCAATCACTTCTGGCTTAAACGAAGATGGCACTGCAAAGAACGTCACACCATCGCCTGCGTTAAATCCGACCTGAGATTAAGAAGCAATTTAAATAGTGTCAATAAGAAATAAGCTTATTAAACTCGCTTAATTTTGTGACATTGGATTTTCATGTGAGTAATATTGTTGTGTATTTGAATGTATGAAAGTTGAGTCGCAAGAATACTCACTTGAGCAGGTGTTCCGCCGATGCCTTGGGTATTACCATCACTTGCTTCTCCTGTTGTCCATTCAATGTCACAATAATTATAAATTGCAAACGATTTCTCGCCATCCGATATCAGCACTGCTTGAAATGTATTTCTCTGTTTCATGGAAAACAACATTTATTATAGCAGGTTCATGATATATTAAATCACGCTATTTGTATATATTGGACAAGGTGTTCACTTTCGTTTCGTTGGTTTATATCTTAATAATATAATATTATTGTGGACACATTTGATTTATTGTAGTTTAGTTTACAATGTAATTCTACATTTAATTATCTCACCAGTTCTCTACTAGCGTCTGATTCGGCGCCATAAAAAGCAGTGTTGTCCCAAGTAGCTATGAATACCCATACCACATCTAACAAATCACATGTGTACGTGTTGATATCCTTGATGGCACGTGCAACAATTTTGGGATCTGTCGTTTCCCTCCAATACACGTTTCCACCATTCCTTGTGTTAACATCTGCCCAAAAGGGTGCAACCATTGTATATTCATTGCCAAGGGGAAATGCTATTGGAGTATATTCCCAAATTTCTTTCACAAATGAGATAACTCCGTTTGTGTTTACCTACAACAAACATTGTAGGTGGTTGGTTGGTTACAGATAAAGCAATCCATGCACAAACACTACTAATAAAATGTAAACGATGGTCTTACAAAGTTGTGTATGGAATCTGTATGGAATTAACAATATAACATAACAATTCAGTAAACATTATAATCCTATAACGGATTTCCTTACCCATAATGAGCTATGAGTGTTACCGAAAAATGGGAATGCAGGAATAATGTTAATTTCTCCGGAGCTTCCATCGTCATTGATGCGGTTTGCATTATCATCAAACACTGAACCATATGGATAAAATTTATCTAAAAGTAAATAAACGGAAATAGATAAATGTTACATCAATTGTATAATTGTAAGTAAAGACTGCATGACTAGGGAGTGGCAACTAAGACCTGCATGCTACGCATCTGTGCATTATTTTATGATAATCAGTTCAATTCGGTATTGCACAAAAAATTCATCACTCTTAACTAATTATATAATTAGACGACGCTTACATTTTCCTCGTTCAAATATTGCAATTCATGCAATATACAGCTGGGCGCAAACTTTTTATTATTACTATAAAGTATAAAAAAAACTTACTGCAGTCATCAGAACATGGATTGTAGGTTGATTGCATGTTTTCCTCAGAATCATAATAGTCATAAAAATCAGAATAATATTCAGAATAATCATAAAAATTGGAATATGAATCATCATCATCATCAATCCCAGTGTCATAATCGCCGTCATTGAGTGTTGTACCGTAAGAGTAAAACACTTGGCAGTTTGCTTGCATTCTGAACTTGAGATCTGAAACAAAATTAAGGTATGGATGAAGGCTAGTAAACACTTTTATATGGAAACAGTTTTGGCTTACACTGATAAAATGTCGAATTGCTACAATAAATATAACAAACCAAATAAACTGAAAATAGGAAAATGCATATTTTTGATGCACTGCATAATTAGCAAGACTGTAAATTAATAATGAAAAGTAATTAATGGTAATTTGAATGTAAAGTACTTGACACTTCTGGCATCATTGTGAAGAAATTCCTAATCCAACGAGCAGAATTTCAATAAACTATGCAGGTTTGAAAACCTATTTGGGTAATCTCCATTTTAAAACAAACAACCACGTATAACATAGTGCTATGATATTTTTAAATTATTTTTTTAATTATGTTTTGGCTGCAGTCGACAGCCAACCATGTCTATATATAAAAAAACAGTATTTTATGAGCCTCCACCCTAAAGATATAAAATTCACTTACTATAAAATCTGCAGATTGACGATGTCAACAATCTATTTCTTACATTAAAATGTAAAAATAAAATATATGACACACTATTAACCATTCTTTCCAATTTCTAAGTTTAGTTCGATCAAAATTGTACAATATTACTGATTGATTGATTTAATAGTACTTGAATTGAATTGACTTTCGATAGCACAATGTGAATAAGACATTCTGAAAGGTAATGTGTATACCATACACACTGAGTGGAAATCTTAGAAACTAATTTTGTTCATGCAATAAATGTATGTCAAATTAGGGATCTCTATTGGCTACAACCCTGTACAATAATAAAGTTGCATTTCCTCATTGTGTAATCTGCAATAGATTTTTCATTGACCCAATGTTAGCATCCCACGGGTTTTGGATTTTGTTCATTTCAGAAATATTATCCAATGGAATCTCGAAAACCAAGGTAGAATATTATCCAAATATAAAGCAAAGTGGCCTTCAGTGATTACAACAGCAGCGTTTGGCTAGGCGATTCGACACAATGACATTCAGTGCAGGTGAGGTTCAGTCTTCCACGATTTTATAAACAATAGTCAATGGGAGGTGTTCCGAATATAATAGAGTATGCGGAAATATAATTTAATCTGAATCGGTGAGCAAAATGATCATTGTAACTCAGGCCAAATTAGTACTGCCATAAAACATGTATTATTTTCAGAGTGAAAACTGTGACGAAAAACATGTATACTTAATTACAAAGACAATTTCCAAATTGTTAAGCGTATTGAAATCCGTGTTTGCCCTGTCAAAAATATAATATAATTTTTATTTTTACGCAAAAGCTGAGCATAGTCGAATCATATATGGCATGTATTCCCGGAACCTTCATCGAGGAACAGGTGAATATCCCACTTTACAAGAAGACAATAAAGAGCTGTATTCACAGTTAGTTGATAGAGAGCCAACCGATCGTAGTTGTCGAGAATCAGCAGGAGCTGAGAAACAACATAGTTCGAGAGACAGCAGGAAAAATGTTGTTAATCGGCAGATCACAGGCTGTGACAAGCCGCATCACATTATTGGATTACCCGGAATTATCGCCCATCAACAAGAACACTAGCTTACAATGCAGACAAGTTTTGATGCCCTACAAAAGTCTATTGCATTTGGGACAGCGACATAAACAATATCTAAATTATATGAGGACTTTATTCCATTACATCCCAATATTTTGCACAGCTGCAATAAGTGACTAAACCAGGCTGGAAAAGACTTTTATACCACTAATTACCGGCAACACCAAACCTGTCGGGAAACACTTAAACAACAATAAACCCGAGGTAAAAAGCCTAGTGTTCACCATAATTATTAAGTGAAAAATTGAAAGCAAAAACATGAAAACAGAATCCAATGGAATCATGGCGGCCCTTAATTTGACAAGGCGCCCTCAATGTCATCTAAACTTATGGTAAGCATTTTCATGAAATATAAGATAGCTCTCTCGAATTGTATTGTGGTTGCCTTTGAAAAACGAATTATTTTTTAGCTTAGCTAAATCTTATTTGAATAACTTTCTTCCTACTACTTGGTCAACTCTTAATATGTATTGTACATATCTAGGCACAGGATGTCAATGTTTATACGATGTTATAAACACAGAGGCACTAAAATTTGGAATAACTTGCCACATGGAAAACGTCCGCAGCATCAGTGAATTTTTCAAATATAATTGGAAAACGTTTTGAAGCATAATGGTGTTTAATGTTTCAAACTGTTTAGTTTTTCTTATGAATATAGGATATTTTTATTGCACTCGAATCTATGGTAGAAAATGGAACTCCAAGAGACGCAGTTTCAAGCAAAAAACAGTTGTTTGACTGAATGAGGAGCATAGAAATTATGTATATTCCAAAGAAATGTGCGGTAAAAAACTTACTTTCTGGCCCCAAAATGACCCCCACAGCATATTTATGAGAGGATATATTTGATGAACATTTTCCAGTCAAAAATATCGAAAACTATGGCTTTAACTGTTTTATCTGCGACGGGGATTGAATTTGATCTAATGTAGTTTTAGAAATTTCTAATCTAAAAATAGGGCAATATTTGTGTTCATATTTTGGAAATCAAAATTCGTAAAACAGATTGGTTTAAGAGTGTATCTGACACAGAGGGCGCACTGGTGTCAAATCAGCTGCGACCTTTGGTCGAAGATTTTCCTCGATCAACCATTAATGAATCTGGAACTATTATTGAAATATTACCGAATACAAATATGTCATTGGGCGTGCCTCGTATGCTACTTTTGTTGACACCTTGTCTACAATATTAATGTTTGATGATTTTGCACGTTCGTGATATTTTCTCCCATTATCTATGATTTTATTCCTTCTAAATGTCAACTGATTTTGTTCAATAATAATTCAGTGATAATTAAATAAATATAATGGTATCATGGTGAAATACCACCTGCTAATAACTGGTACTAAACGCATGTGAGTTAATTGACCATATTATGTCATATTAAAAAATGATACACTTTATTATACTGTCACCATGGAAGCAATTTCTAGCTTCGAGAAGAACGTGATATTCATGCAGCAGTCACAATTCCACGAGATGTCAATAGTCCCCTTCGGTAACATGCCATTTATCAAAAAACATTCTATCATGTCGTCGAAATTTGGGAAGTAAGATATGCATAGATATATAAACGAAATGTAATCTACATTGTACATTCGCTGAAAGATTTTGTTAAAATACCTTCTGTTCCCAAGATTGCGGCATTCCAAATACTCTCCACGTCTACATATGCATAGCAAGCCTCTGCCCACGTGACACTTTCGTCATTGATCATGTCTATAACATCTGTACTGAGAGAGTTGCTAACAGCGGCATCAACCAGCGATGTTTTTACAACAAGAGGGAACGTGTCAAAGTCTGGGATACTGCTTCTGACGTCATTGATGAAATCAGCCAAATTACCCTGTGTAAAAAATGAAATCAAGTTTCAATTTGTTGTAGAGTTTGGCGTACGATGATATTTAAAGCAATCGAAAAGTTGTTTTAGTAAGTTTGTGGTATGTGAGTCCGTGATAATAACTAGGTAGGGTGATTGAAACGAAGAATACCTGGTGGTCAATAGAATCGAGACAAGTAGTGCTGTAATGATTACTGTTACTCTTACCATAAATGTTCCATCATTGTTCAACACGTAATCCAATATATAGTCAAACTCGTTTTGTGTCAGCCCACCTATAAATGACACCAGTTTGTAAATATTTATCTCGATGATATTTCATGTTGAAAAATATAACGAAAATATGCAACAAGGCGTTTTCCTGAGAAAGCTTATATTATGATGTCATGAATATATCTATGACAAAAGAGGAGCTAAATTTTGACCATGTAATTAACATTTTTATTTACTTGGACCAACAGTTAAGGCAGTGCTCTGTGAATAATATGAATGCTAAATATGTTCTAAATACCATTGTTGAGTAAACATGTGTGTAAATGCAAATTAGACTAACCTGTATCGGCGTGAACATCAGGAAAACTACTCACCAATGCCTACAACGGAAACGCCATAGGTTACAAATATTGTTTAGTGTGTTATTAATACGTGAGTTATTGTACATGAATGAATGAACTACAACTTACCAAAAGTAAAATAATATGCACACACGAGGCCATTTTTTACGGCAGTAAACCTCTAGCAAAAAACAAAAAGATTATGTAAAAAGAAATATTGACAAGCAATCTATAGTTGACAAAATCCAACTGTGTATTTTAACTGCAAATTCAGCATTATAAATGAATAAGATGAATGATAAATGATGATATCAGTAAAATAAATAAAAATGTAACATTATTTTAAAACAGTAAATAACGAATAATAGGCTGATAATGTAATGCATGATTCCTATAGTAAAGTATATATACTGACGAGATCACAGTATAGTGTCAGTATCACAATGTCAGTGATTCGTACATCGCAGACAGCCAATTTGTGGTGACAAAAACCGTATAATAAATGAAATAAATAAATGAAATAAATGGAATGAACACTTACCTTACATGAAGCTGTATATCTGTTTGTTCGATGGGTTGGTTTTCAATGTCTGGTGCGAGTCCTCAGTATCGATCCCTTTTATGTGGATTTCACACCACTAATTGATTAATTATTCATGAGAGAACCCACTATTTTGAATAATGGTAGTACTGAATACTAATTTTTGCATGATGTAAAACAAAACATCGGATTCATTGCTATATCAAGTGTTGTTGTTGTTGTGGCAAGTTTGAAATCAAGTTGTTAACACTTTGTTAACACTACAAGAATATTCAAATATAAATGGTAGGCCAAGAGTCACCCTACCTATGCTGACATTATAATCATCTGAAAATTATACTAAATGCCATATGCCTTAAAAACAACAACTAATCTTTCCAAGAAATACAGTATAACAATACACACTGTGCATGGATTTTATACTCATGTCTGTGTTAAATATTCTTTTGGCATGTAACCAGTTTGCTATGAGTCATCAAATGTAAAGTGTTGATTTAAATAAATATGAACCATATGCTATAAATAAAGTATGACTGCTTCATCCGCCATAGATAGCCATTTGAAAAAGTGATTTTTATTTGTTACGATTATCAACTTATCAATGCTATACCTTACGAGTTTAGAGTTTGTTGTTAAATTGGTGAAGTAGTTTTAATTGTTATTGTGCATTGTCATTCATTTACCATTTACCGATTCACCGATATAGTAGATTAGTCTAGTTAAAAAGAAATGTACCATACGTCGAAATTTGGTTCGAAGGACTGAGCTTTGAGGTCATCTGCATAATACTCCATACCCATAGATGTTATGAAAACGTGCAACTTGAAATTTACTATATATTTTCTATCTGCAGACCAATGTTAACATATTGTTACACAATTGATTATTATCTTATTTTTTAGCTAGTTTTACAAGACTGTGAGAATTAATTCTGCATGAGTAGTATGAGTAGATGAAAAGCATTTTACGGTGAAATATAATGAAATTATTATTATTACTACTTTAGAACATACATTTCACCAGTATGCATTTCATCAAGTGACAAACAAATTATAAAACGAATTTCAGTGGAAATTTAGTTATGCTGTGAACTACATACAGGACATCCATAAGGTGAGATTACATTTATGAAATATCAGTGAGTACCGACAATTGATTGCCGACACTAGATTACCGACAGTTGAGTACCGCCACTTGTGCCTTTTTAAACATAAAATTATAATGGGAATTCATATGATTTATATTTTTCTCTTTGACTTAATTTCAGTGTATGTCAGCATCCTTTATTTCATGTTTTTGTCATATTACCACAAACCCTGCAAATGGAAGTGTGCATGGAATCATGGGAAGAAATGGTGTGCATTGTGATAACAGGTCAGACTTGTTTATAACTCTGGAAAGACAGTGGGTTCTACCAGGTGTGCTTGTAATTTACATAACAAAGGGTGTTTACAACTTTGGAAGGAGAATTGGAATCTACCAGGTGTGCTGTTATTTGAATAACAAAGGATGTTTATGATCTACTGAGTTGCCTACGTGACACAGCTGCTAGCAAGATTACATTCTGATTGGCTCATGTGGAAACCCAGGTGGTGTCACTGCCTATGAATTGGGCAGAGTCGGGACAGTTTGGGGTTCATTATTTCAACTTGGTGTCTGTCTTTTCAACTTGCTTTCTAGTGTGTTCTGCTACGATACGATATTACAGGCTACAACCATCATTCTGTGAGACTTGTATGAACTGCTCTGCGATCTCCTGCTTTCAGCGGTGCCCTCCACAATACCAGCGTTCCTCTGCAAGCAAGACTCCTGTATTTTTTCGTTGTGTTGCAGAAGTCATTGACTGTCCATTAATACATCCTGGAATTGTGAGTTATCACCAATGCACACTTCCCTAAGCAAACCCCTATTTTAGTGACTTTATTCATTGTATTTTTTGTGCTTTATTTCTTGTAATTATTTTCAGAGGTATTAAAGCCAGGAGCTTTAACTTGATATTTTGGTGTATGTGTATTTCATTTCCAGTACTATTGTCTTGTCTACCACATTCTAGCAGTGAAAGAACCTCCTGTCCAGTGTGAGTTCTGTGGGTGGCCCTCTCAATTGCGATAA